GCTGTATCTATAAAACGTACAGAAGAAATTGAAGCTGGAAAGAAGGTCGTATATCGATGTTCAAAGTACAGAAAATATCCTGAGTGCGATTTTCAAGTCAAAGTTATTTTTTCTTATGATGGTGGAATAACAGTTTCAACATCCAATGAACATAATCATGCTCATCGTGCATCAACAACACGAGTACCATCACCAGTTAGAGAAATTGTTATAAATTCTGTTGCAGCTGGTCTTTCTTACATTCAAACACATCGAGCTATTGAACATCAATATGAAGGTGTTGTTTCACGTTCACAATTATGTAGTTTATTAAATTACCATCGATCACTAAAATTACCCGATGTAAATTTTGTCGATGATTTTTTTCTATTATATAAAATTATGTTATTTTTTTTGAACTAAATAAACTATAGCAGGTTCAGAACAATGGATAATCGGGCTCATGTCATATTTCGAAGTCAAAAGACACAAAACATTTTTTTTTTGAGCCCGAACTAATTTCATCGGGCTCAAATGTTTCTAATTGCGGGCTCAGAAAAATTCTTGTCCTCTTGAAATGAAAAAGAAGAAAGAAAGTGATGGTAGAGAACGTATTGATAAGAAGATTTCCGAAAACTGATTTTGAACATCGGAAAGTTTCTAAAATCAAATATCTATTTTGTTGTCACGACCCAGGTCACTTAACCGATCAGCTTGCACCTTGAGTGACTTCATAACTTATCAAAGCTTACAGAATTTTGAACGTTTTCCTAATGATATACTTCTTTATCGTAATAAAAACATTTCAATTTATTAAGCCCTATTGCAAAAAAAAAGTTTTGAAAATATCCTACGGTCTATCGAATACTGAGTTCAATGGTTGTTTTATTTTTTTTTTTGTTAATCTGTTTAATTTACATTTCAACATTATAATTCAATTGATCTATTCTTTCTTTTGATATAAATATAAAACAGGTCAACTTGTTTACGTACCAAGAAAAACCATCATGCTCAGTCAAAGTTGAATAGAAGATTTCTCGATTGCAAAACGATCCAATTTATTCAATCAAAATCTTTTCTAGATTTTCATATATTCCACAGCAATAGATGCCATTGATTTTGAATACGACGATAATAAATGTTATTCATCAGTCAAAATCAAGAATTTTTGTGAAAAAAAAGGATATTATTGTCTTTTATCACATTTCAAACACAATTTCTTTCAGAGGCCCAGCAGTGTCACATATCCAAGATTTTGGAGATGCCACCACATCTCCCGCGGGAGATGCCCCATCTCGCGCGAGAGATGAGGTTGTGAGTATGAGAAATGCACATCTCTAAAGGAGATCTTACATCTCCAGTGTGTGGGTGTCGCGTCTCCAGCGGGAGATGTGGTGGCATCTCCAAAATTTTGGATATGTGACACTACTCTTCAGTTAATAATAAAAATTTTCGGATCCTTCGAAGTCTTCAGAGAATCTAAACAAAAAAAGGTTAGTGAGTGCGTCACCAAGCACAGATTGCGCTACCGTCATGTTTTAGTAATAACTGATTTCAGAGAGAAACTTCAAAGGAAAACATCATCATTGTGAAGTCTGTTGTCATAGCTACAGACATATATGAAACTTTATGGAACAATGTTTTGAATAACTCTAATGAAAGACGTTCTTTTTATTTTGAGAGAGAGAGTTCTAAACACTTTAGGCCCGAATAATAAAGAAAAAACTAGTGTCACAAAATATTTTATTTCTAACAAATATCTTCATACTCAAATAGATAACAAAAAAAACTAGGGCTGTCATTGAGCTCGAAAAATGTCAGAAAGCAACCTATCTTGGCTCAGCTAGCAAGTAAAGAGATAATAAATGTGAACCATTTAAAATATCAATGATTTTTTTTTTCAAATGAAGTTATGCATCATCATGCAAAGAAACTCTCAATTGTTAATCATTGTTTTCCTCATTTTTATTGTCGACTTTCATTTCGAAATCAAGATTAGCTGTGCAAAATGAATGGCTAACTTCAACTTTGATTAAGTCAATAGGACGCGACATGAAAAAGTTTGTCCTTCAGAATTCTACTGTCTATTCTTGCAAAGTTATCATAGTTCAATTATATGATGTCTTTGAAGCTTAGAAATATCTTTATTATATATCGCAACATCAA